CAGAAGCATATGCTGTCCAATGTCCACTACCATGAAAGTGGTTCTTGTGTGATCGATAAATCAAGAGTACCACAAATTCAGAAAACTTATCAATATGATACCAGAGTATATATATCAAGTTAGAAGAATGAATAGATTTCTGCTCATCCGTGTTTCATAAATGGATCATCTTTCTGTTTTGTAGATTGGAGTCAGCGCTCCCCAAGGCAGCGGGAAGACAACTCTTGTTTTCGCTCTTGATTATCTTTTTCGGGTTTCTGGTAGGTGAGTCCTTCTCATCATGTTGATTACCATGTGTTCTCTTTGCCTCTATGAATGAAATTTAAGAGCCAAACTATTGTGTGCCTCAGGAATTCTGCCACATTGTCTATCGATGACTTCTATTTGACTGCAGCAGAACAGGCATGAATATTCAGATACGGAGCAATTAAATTCTGTATTGGGGATTACATTGCTTTTTTCTGCATATCTGTTGAAATATCAGTGATGATCGATGAATACATATGTGCAGGGTAAACTGAGGGAAACACATGCTGGAAATGCTCTTTTAGAGGTACAAGAACACCCCGATTAGCCCACTGTACTACCTCTGTTTTAGATGCTGTTTAACATGAACTGAGAGTACCTGACTAAAACTTTACAGTTTCGTGGAAATGCCGGAAGCCACGATCTCCAATTCTCAATTGACACACTTGAGTCACTGATCAAACTGACAAAGGAAGGTACCGGTTGTGAACAAGTATCTGTATCTTGTCCAAATCCTTTGTGTTTCTATTTCATGGTCATTTGCGCAGTCTATTTTCTGTATTCTTTGGATTATTAAGGGTGCTGCATCCTATTTTTTTTTAAAGAAATGCATCATAGATTCATATATATTGTCACTGAAATTACTGTTGTTTTTAACAACATTTAGGTACGAAGATGAAGCTTCCACGGTATGACAAGGTAAAAGGTTGCAGTTATCTTAGCGTACCTGAGTTTATATTTGAGTAGCCGAATGATATACCTCAGATACCCATGTAGTCCGCTTTTGGTGGAAGAGGTGACCGGGCTGACCCTTCGACATGGCCAGAGGTTGAAGGGCCCACAGAGGTAATTTCATGTTTAGCTGAATAACATTTTGAGTTGAGACATGTGCTTTTCAACTTCTCGCATGCCTGCTTTCTTGTCGTAGGTTGTTCTCTTTGAAGGATGGATGCTTGGGTTTAAACCTCTTCCAAATGAAGTTGTAACAGCAGTGGATCCTCAGGTGATTTCCTGGGATCATAACATTATTTGGTTTGTTTGTGCTACGTTAATATGACTTGAACCTATTTCCTTCTTCAGCTTGAGGTGGTTAATAAGAACTTAGAAGCATACTATGACGCGTGGGACAGATTCATTGAGTCATGGATTGTCATAAAAATTAAGGAGCCTAACTGTGTGTTTCAGTGGAGACTACAGGTCGTTATTGGACTTATCTGACTAGTGATCCTACAGTGTGCACAACAGAACAGTAAATTGATATTTTCTGATGCTTTTATTTTAATCGCAGGCAGAGGTAGCTATGAGAGCTGATGGTAAAGCAGGAATGTCTGACGAGGAGGTGTGTTTCTCATATAGTAGCTGATTCGTCCATTACACTGACCTTCCTTTCCAGTTGGATCATTTGTCGGTGCCCTACTTTTCTTTCCAAAAGAGGGAAACCCCCATGATCTCTGCATCGAGTGATGAACACATCCTTGTTGGCACCAGTTGTCAAGGAACAGCTCTTTCTGAGTTCTTAGCTATGAGCTGTGACCAAACTGGATAGTGCATCTCTCAAATCAGGACAGACAAAAGCCTGTCTTCTGAATAAAATAAAGCAGGACAATTGAGCAAACAAAAATACCAAGATGCAAAAGTATTTACAAATCAGTGCCAAAATTTCACACCATAGTGGCTACGAAATCATACTTTTTTTTGACCTGTCTATCAAATCACACTTGATTGACTTATTCAACCTCTTCAGTGAACCAAGCATCGAAGTTGTCCTCTGCATCGCGTTTCATTTATCCATTCATGACTGTTCTCTCCTATGCTGTTGACTGTGGAGTCATGAAATTTGGCAATTCTTGCAGGTTATGGATTTTGTATCGCGCTACCTACCAGCATACCATGCGTATTTGCCCACGCTATATAAAGAAGGACCAAATGGCGCGAAGAAAGACCATCTGCTGGTCATTGACATAGACGAAGAGAGGACTCCTATCTCTGGTAGTTGAGTGCTGAGTGTACATTCTGAAATGGATATCTTGACTAAGTGGTTGAGCTTGGGATTTCTGATCTTTCTGAGACCACTTCTGCCAAGCAAGCACCACCGTCCTCTTGTTTCTTACAGCTTAAATATATCCTAAACGTGTAAATTCGATGTATACCAAGTTTTGCTATCTATTAAAAGAAACTGGCATCTCATTTTTCTTCCTATGTCACTCTGTGTGCTAAGTTTGTTTTCAAATTAGTGTTTTTGTGAATTGTCTGATTACGTTCTAGGGGCAATCATCCGACGCATTTCATTGTATACGCATTCGGTGATGAGGCACACACTTTGTATCGCAGTAGTTTTTTCTTTTTGCCACATTTTCTTGCGCTTTTTTCTTGTGCCATCATGAAAGCGCATCCGTTCATCTTAGTTACTATCGGCTTTAAATTATTGCCGATAGTATGTTTCTGTTTGTAGCTAAGAGTGTACTAGTAAAAGACTAATCGGACGATTCAGGCAAGCCCCTGATTAATGTCAATGAACAAAAAACATAGACGGAAGTACAATAGGTTTGGCAACCATGGACCACGTATTTGTGTAGTCCATTTCCATTCTGAACGCATGTGTATTTATATATTAGTAGCTCAAATAGAGCACAATCCGTCGTAGTCTAGGTGGTTAGGATACTCGGCTCTCACCCGAGAGACCCGGGTTCAAGTCCCGGCGACGGAACTTTTTGCATTTATTTTAAGAAAAAAAATTGTTTTTGCACTTTGATTTGCTACTGTAGCCACTTTGGAGTTTGCCCGGTCAAAGAAAGTGCTTTAGGATGTTGCAACAATTAAGGGCCTGTTTGGTTCTTTGGCAAGCGCTTGCCTTGCCCAGCCTAGCAAGGAAGCCATTTTTTGCATTTTCTTTTGAGCAAAAAAAAGATTGTTTTTGCACTTTGATTTGCTACTGTAGCCACTTTGGAGTTTGCCCGGTCAAAGAAAGTGCTTCAGGATGTTGCAACAATTAAGGGCCTGTTTGGTTCTTTGACAAGCACTTGCCTTGCCCAGCCTATCAAGAAAGCCAATTATTTGGTTCGTGGGCGATCGTACCTCGTTGCCTGTGATTTCCGGCTTTTCCTTCAATCGAGTGGGCGAGCCAATTTGGCTAGCCTCCGTCGGCAAGGCTAGCCTCGCCCAGCAAAGCGAACAGGCAAGGAAACCAAATAGATTCTAACTTTCCATAATTACGAGGACAGAAACAAGCTTTGATTAAGGCAGCATCACATTTCAGGTGAAATTTAATTGACCTTCAACCAACATTTTAAGCGTAAAAACATGGCATCTATATGTATGCAACCGAATTATCATTTTCACTAAAAGCAAAATCAACATAACTAAAAAAAAAGTTCAACCCAACTATTTTAGGAAGGTTAAGAATGAATCATCAAAAAGGTTTCAGACTAACATGCAAAGAACTACTCCCTCAAAAAAAATGCAAAGAACTACTCCCTCTGTCCCATAATATAATATTGTTTTTCAAGCTGTTGTATACAAAACGCAATAAATTGTAATTCTTGTATGTGGAACTGTAAGACTAACACTGACACTAATAATTCTACCATAAAAAAAGACAGTAGTAATTCTGGGAGAGCAAGAATGAATCATCAAAATTCCAGACTAATATGAAAATAATTTCAATAGCAACTCATTTTGTGTGTGCAGGGAATAACAACTCAAGTTGATTACGGTAAAATATAAACGGTAGCTTTTGTACCACAAAACTGTATAAGTAAAAACTAACAATAGTAATTCTTGGATAACAAGAATGAATCATAAAAAGCGCATAAATTCAGGACACAAATGAAGCAAGAAGTCGCAAACATAGACATACCCCAAAATTAAGACCAGAGGCAAAACATGTTATATGGTTTGAAGGGAAAGTGTAACCCAACATACAAAGTTAGAATATAGGCAAAAAGATATAGTCATTGCAATCGAACGTCAAGAAATTAGAATGAAGGTGGAAAAGACCAACTAAATAATTCAGCAGGAATCACAATAGGTGATCGGACTGCAAGAAATTTGAGTGAAACAAATTGAAATTAGTCGTATGGAAAATACTACTCCCTCTACACGCAAAAAAAATACTACTCCCTTGGATGGAAATAAGTGCTGAAAAAAAAAACGTTTTCCTTAACCATCCCCTAGTGAGCTCTCGCATTGCTAGTGCTAGCCAAGCACTGCTCACGGGTAGTCCTGGCCATCTCAGGCCCGGCCCTGTCGGCCCACCCAGGCCCGACCCTAAAATCCAGGACCTAGGCCCGATGAGCTTGTCCATGGGCCGGGCTTGGGCCTGAGTTTTGAGCCCATCAACAGGGCCTGGACGGGCATGTGCTTGACATATTGGCATTTTAAGGAAGAGGCCCGGCCCACAGCCCTAAGCCCTAAGGGTTTTTCAGGGCTTTTTACGAGATGGGCCGGGCTTGGGCTTGAAAAGTAGGCCCGATGGTAAGGCCTGGGAGGGCCTGGGCCTCAGTTTTCTGCCATGGGCTTTTTTAGGCCCGGCCCGGCCCATGGCCAGATATACTCACGGGCTCATGGATGGCGATCCGATGACTGGCACGCCAAGAGAGCAAACAACACATGGTTAGTCACACGGATCGCGATCCGTGGCCAACCTCCTAGCGCACATCGCCACCGTCCAACGCTCCCTAATCCAGCGGCTGACCCAGGCCCGCGTTCCTCCGGTGCCGTGGCGCGATGAGGCTTCCCAAAATCCCCAAAATTTCATGCTATGCGCCGCGCCGCGCCCGCCGACCAATTCCGCGCCCCTACTTAACCCCGGCGAACCCGTCCCAAGATCCTCAGACCACCGCGCCGAACAACTCTCTCGCCAGCACGCAGCAAACTCCCCAGCCTTCCCTCGCCCCGGATCCGTAAATGGCCCGCACGAAGCAGACCGCGCGCAAGTCGACCGGCGGCAAGGCCCCGCGGAAGCAGCTGGCGACCAAGGCGGCGCGCAAGTCGGCGCCGGCGACGGGAGCGTGAAGAAGCCCCACCGCTTCCGCCCCGGCACCGTCGCGCTCCGCGAGATCCGCAAGTACCAAAAGAGCACGGAGCTGCTCATCCGCAAGCTGCCCTTCCAGCGCCTCGTCCGGGAGATCGCGCATGACTTCAAGACCGACCTCCGCTTCCAGAGCTCCGCCGTCTCCGCCCTGCAGGAGGCCGCCGAGGCCTACCTCGTGGGGCTCTTCGAGGACACCAACCTCTGCGCCATCCACGTCAAACGCGTCACCATCATGCCCAAGGACATCCAGCTCGCCCGCCGCATCCGCGGGGAGCGCGCGTAGGCGCCCTCTCGCTCCTGCTTGGTCCCTTGAGGCCTCATCGTGCCATGATCTAGCCGTGCTGTAGTTTTTAGTATGTGCAATGGATGTATCATGTGTTCTCTAAGTTATTATATGAATGAAAAGTACGCAGCTCTGTTTACCTTTCTCTCTGCTTAATCATATGTTCAGAATTGTTGATGTTGTTTGGGCAATGGGAACTGAACAATCTGCACCTGAACAATAGTCGCTACTAAAATTTGCATAAACAGGAATCCTCCAATCTCTATCCATCTAGATCTGGGAAACAATCCGGCCGTCAGCACGTAAGCCGACGGTAGAAGCCGCCCCAAATTCCATCCGGCAAGCGAAGCGAAACAATTCGGGTCTGCGGCTCGACGTTTCCCAGCTCGCCCGAGGAAGCGGGAGACGTGCTCATGCGCATATCGTTCTGCCGCGCGACTGGTCCAAGATGCGGGAGGACATGCTCGTGCACATATCGGGCTGCTGGAACCCCGGAGCTTGGCCGTTCAGGCGAGATAGGCGCGCGACTGGTCGCGATATTAGCTCCAGAGATGATGGATGTATGGTAGTACCAGTTTAATCAATTTATCATTTTCTAGTTCAGTGGTAAATTGGCCCCATCTTGTTTGGTTCAAGGTACAAATTGTTGCATCAGCTTATTTGTGGTGCTCAGAGCATTTTCAGCAGCTTCCCCACAAAAAAAAAACTCCCCTACATATGAATCCCTGAAGGGTCGTCATTGATTTAACTAGTTTTGGAAAGGAAAACGCTTAGAGCCGGAGCGCTACTTTGTCCCTGTTTTGCGCCGGCGCCATGCTTCTCCCTCCTCGCAGCAAACCACGACGAGGACCGCCCAAAATAGATCACTGTGCGGAGGTGCCTTGCTGCTGCAAGCTCCATGGCCAGATTTATCTGCTTAGCGCAGGCCATGGCCGAATTCGAGCCATTTAGGAAAGGGATTTTTTTTGCGCCATGGACGAGTTGCTAGTGACGTTAATGGAGAGGTTTGCTGGGGGCGGCTCCTGCAAAAGCTACATCCGGTCATGGAGGTGCTGGAACCGGGCTCGCGGTTTTGCTAGAAACGACCACCGCGGGTGCTCGAACGCCCACGGTGCTGGAATTGACAAACACTGGTGTTGGAACCAGCCACCACGGCTGCTACAATCCGCCCTCGCAAATGCTGGAAGCAGCCATCGTGGGTGCTACAAGCCGCCGATGTCGCTGCTGCAACCTGCAGCATGAGGAGCTACAACCGGCAATCTCGTTTGCTACCAACAGCACCACCATATGTTGGAACGGGCCAACTATTTTGCTGCAATCGGCACGAGGCACTGCCACAATGGCGAACTACGATGCAGAGTTTGCTGCAACCAGGAAACTAGAAGCTGGAACTGATGGATTTTTTTGCTACATCCGGCGGAGTGGTGCTCGGGCGATGACGGGGATGGCCATCGAACGTGATGCATCAAATTAAAACGGACACTACATTTTCATTAATATTGAGCTTTTTCACATAGAAAAGTAAAACCGACCTTGGTCTACTCTTCACCGGACGTGTGCATGTCCGTGTTCCACGACTCCACGTCGTACTCTCCGTTAGAGATCGTCGCCTGGCCATCGATGTCGTCGGTGGAGGTCAGGTCGATGATCAAACCGGGCAGTCCAACCTCGTAGTCATTGTGTCCCGACACAAAAGACACGGAGCTGCCAATGTTTGGCAGCATTCACATCCACCACGGCGTTGGCGCCTCTTCGTCTTCCTCCGTTGCGATCTCCTCGATCAGGGTGGCCGCACTTTGCCATGTTGATGTGGAGTTGCCACTGTTGGGGAACGCAGTAATTTCAAAAAAAATCCTACGCACATGCAAGATCATGTTGATGCATAGCAACGAGAGGTGAGAGTGTTGTCCACGTACCCTCGTAGACCGTAAGCGAAAGCGTTATGACAACGCGGTTGATGTAGTCGTACGTCTTCACGATCGACCGATCCTAGTACCGAACGTACGACACCTCCGCGATCTGCACACGTTCAGCTCGGTGACGTCCCGTGAACTCACGATCCAGTAGAGCTTCGAGGGAGAGTTCCGTCAGCACGGCGACGTGATGACGGTGTTGATGAAGCTACCGACGCAGGGCTTCGCCTAAGCACCTCTACAATATGACCGTGGTGGATTATGGTGGAGGGGGGCACCGAACACGGCTAAAAGATCAATGATCAACTTGTGTGTCATGGGGTGCCCCTGCCCCCGTATTTAAAGTAGCAAGGGGGGAGGCCGGTCGGCCCTAGGATGGCGCACCAAGAGGATGAGTCCTCCTCCTAGTGGGAGTAGGACTCCCCTTTCCTAGTCCCACTAGGAGGGGGAAGGAAGGAGTGGGAGAGGGGAAAGGCAAGGGGGGCGCCGCCCCCCTTCCTTTTCCTATTCGGACTCAAGGGGAGGGGGCGTGCGGCCTGCCCTGGCCGGCCCCTCTTTCTCTCCACTAGGGCCCATTAGTCCTCGGGGGGTTCCGGTAACCCCTCTGACACTCTGGTTTTCTCCGAGATCACCCGAAACCCTTCTGGTGTCCGAATGTAGCCGTCGAATATATCAATCTTTATGTATCGACCATTTCGAGACTCCTCGTCATGTCTGTGATCACATCCGGGACTCCGAACTACCTTCGGTACATCAAAACACATAAACTCATAATACCGATCATCACCGAACGGTAAGCGTGCGGACCCTACGAGTTCGAGAACTATGTAGACATGACTGAGACTCATCTCCGGTCAATAACCAATAGTGGAACCTGGATGCTCCTATTGGTTCCTACATATTCTATGAAGATCTTTATCGGTCAAACCGCATAACAACATACGTTGTTCCCTTTGTCATCGGTATGTTACTTGCCCGAGGTTCGATCGTCGGTATCTCAATACCTAGTTCAATCTCATTACCGGCAAGTCTCTTTACTCGTTCCGTAATACATCATCCCACAACTAACTCATTAGTTGCATTGCTTGCAAGGCTTATAGTGATGTGTATTACCGAGAGGGCCCAGAGATACCTCTCCAACAATTGGAGTGACAAATCCTAATCTCGATCTATGCCAACTCAACAAGTACCATCGGAGAGACCTGTAGAGCACCTTTATAATCACCCACTTATATTGTGACGTTTGTTAGCTCATAAAGTGTTCCTCCGCTATTCGGGAGTTGCATAATCTCATAGTCATAGGAACATGTATAAGTCATGAAGAAAGCAATAGCAATATACTAAACGATCAAATGCTAAGCTAACGGAATGGGTCATGTCAATCACATCATTCTCTAATGATGTGATCCCGTTAATCAAATGACAACTCATGTCTATGGCTAGGAAACTTAACCATCTTTGATTCAACGAGCTAGTCAAGTAGAGGCATACTAGTGACACTTTGTTTGTCTATGTATTCACGCATGTACTATGTTTCCGGTTAATACAATTCTAGCATGAATAATAAACATTTATCATGATATAAGGAAATATAAATAACAACTTTATTATTGCCTCTAGGGCATATTTCTTGCAGTCTCCCACTTGCACTAGAGTCAATAATCTAGATTACACAGTAATGATTCTAACACCCATGGAGTCTTGGTGTTGATCATGTTTTGCTAGTGAGAGAGGCTTAGTTAACGGGTATGCAACATTCAGATCCATATGTATCTTGGAAATCTCTATGTCTCCCTCCTTGACTTGATCGCGGATGGAATTGAAGCGCCTCTTGATGTGCTTGGTTTTTTTTTTGTGAAATCTGAATTCCTTTGCCAAGGCAATTGCACCAGTGTTGTCACAAAAGATTTTCATTGGACCCAATGCACTAGGTATGGCACCTAGATCGGATATGAACTCCTTCATCCAGACTCCTTCATTTACTGCTTCCGAAACAGCTATGTACTCCGCTTCGCATGTAGATCCCACCACGACGCTTTGCTTAGAACTGCACCAACTGACAGCTCCACTGTTCAATATAAACATGTATCTGGTTTGTGACTTAGAGTCATCCAGATCAGTGTCCAAGCTTGCATCAACGTAACCATTTACAACGAGCTCTTTGTCACCCCCACAAATGAGAAACATATCCTTAGTCGTTTTCAGGTATTTCAGGATGTTCTTGACCGCTGTCTAGTGATCCACTCCTGGATTAATTTGGTACCTCCCTGCTAAAATAATAGCAAGGCACACATCAGGTCTGGTACACAACATTGCATACATGATAGAGCCTATGGCTGAAGCATAGGGAACACCTTTCATTTTCTCTCTATCTTCTGCAATGGTCGGGCATTGAGTCTGACTCAACTTCACACCTTGTAACACAGGCAAGAACCCTTTCTTTGCTTGATCCATTTTGAACTTCTTCAAAACTTTATCAAGGTATGTGCTTTGTGAAAGTCCAATTAAGCGTCTTGATCTATCTCTATAGATCTTGATGCCCAATATATAAGCAACTTCACCGAGGTCTTTCATTGAAAAACTCTTATTCAAATATCCTTTTATGCTGTGACGCCCGGGTAATTAAGCTACAGTGAACCTCTGCTAATGATGCCACGTCACCTCGATTACTGTTCCTAATCACGTGTTAGTTCGAAACTGATTCAAATTCAAATTCAAAATCAACCAAAGAATAAAAGTTTTCAAATATTAAAACTAAAATGTTCGGAGTGAACCAAATATTGCATAAGTAATTATGGTGGAGAAAGCACACCTTTATAAAATGTTTAAACACTCTAAAATGAATAAAAAAGTAACAATAATAATTATTTAAATGCTTTCAAAATGTTAAACAATTTCAAAACTATTTTGTTTCGGTGCTAAGTGGTTTGTGGCTGTGGCTTAGTTTGCAAACTCTCTTTTGGTGCCACTGTAGTATTTTACTAAAATGAGAAATAAAAGAAAACACAAAAGCAGAAAACAATACAAAAGAGAAAAAAAACTAAAACCTAAAGCTAACAGAAAAAAGTGGAAGACCCCCTCCCTGGG